ATTTGTATACGACACTTACATTTGGAATTGCAGCCTCGATGTGGATGCCACCGCCAATATATACACCCGCACTTATATAGATTGAGATATTCGACATACGATATGAGCCTAGAACGTGCAGACCTGCAATGGTTTGTGTATGAATCGATTATAAAGTCACCTTGGCTTCTTTCTCGAGATAGTTTCCAATTATAAAGCGAAGGGTCTAGCCAAATATATGGAAAGCACCAGTAAGGAGTTCACTCATCTGATCACCCATTATCCCTAGAAGAGATCGCTCTACATCAGACATGAAGTCTGATAAAAAAATACATTCTGCAAAGACTCTAAAATATGTAGAATCTGCCAGGCTTCATGGTAGATTCGCCTATCCTACTCGTCCGATTGTCTATAAGGAGAAGCGATGAAGTTAGCACCATAAATAAGTTTCATGGGTTCTGAACGAAAACGGCAGATAGATTACGAGCATACACAAGGCTTAAGTGCTTCTGCTCATACTGATGAACCCGTGTCTTTGTAAGAGTTGGTTTCTTTCCCCGCAGATGCAGTACCTAAAACCTTCGCCGCACACACTTCTACTACACAAACTACACATGTGTCTGAGCAGGCATCCATCATAGGTAAACTTGTGCTTAAGCAAAAAAAGTTGTTGCGAGATGAATCTATAAGCCACGCATAGATATCAAGCCCGATTCAGACCAAACCATATACATGCACATTTGCGCGCAATTTCAGATTGATGCATTGGCACGACCTACGCCGGATTCGTGCTACATATCCAAACGTTACACAGACGCTCTGCTGACCCAAGTGTTATAGTAATTCACTCTGAAAAATTCCTGCTAACATTATGTTGTGACGGAAGCTCTTCATATAATTACACTTCTTCAAATGTGTTTTTATATGAGGATCACGTGGAAATATACGAGGAGATGCATTTGCAAATTCTGGGACACACAGGTTGATGACCGACGCTATTTACCCAGCAGCACTTTCACTCGAGCTCTCAGATCTCGGGAGATCTCGTGAGACATAGCTCAAGTTTTTATAAATGAGTGCGACAGGACACAGATTGCTCGCGAAGTCTTCCTTTAATCTTCAATCGAAATTGACGCAAAACGGTGGTCTTATTTTACGCAATGTTTAGCTACAATACGACGAGCAGAGATATAGCAATATACGCGGGGCCATTATGCGGTGACGCAATATGGATTACGTGGGGCATTTCATACTTCCGAGTGTCTACTTACCAAGCTGGACGCGGGAAGCGGGAATACGTGCTGTTGCGTATTTGATCATCATTGATGAACCACCTTCTGTCGCACACATAGTTCCCAATTCTGAAAAGAAGAACTTTACCGACTCCCCCAACGGGCCGGTGTTACCTTTATTCTTTGGCATATCAATAGTACACACAAGCGAGACAGCTTAGGATAAGCAAACGAAAGTGCATAGCTTTAGAATTATACCACTAAAAATTGTCTGGATCAGGAGCAAGTAGATTGGAGCAAAACCGACTAATGCTAAATCGGATGTATATAATAGTCTCATTCAGGTTTTGAGGTAGGAACAACACAGCTTATTTGCACCGCTTCATGTCATAAAGAATAATGAAATTGGAATCATTAACTGCAAATATATCGCTCACAGTGAAAGTAGAATCTAGCCTCGCAGTACCGCAAAGTGCGAGTATATGCTACAAATTTACGCAGGCGCTAGCTGAGCTTACCATTTCACTCTTGCAGAGCACCCTCAAATCACTATCGTTAGCACAGCAAATGACGGCAAGGTGAACTTTTCTTCGTGCTGTCAAATACTAAGGTATAGTAGATAGCAGCAACAGATATCGCGACCCCTTAAAAATCGGTACAATATTCAATTGCGTAGTTCAACATACCTCACTTTCAACACGAATACTAGTAAAAGATCAGCATGATCGTGAAAACATTTAAAGTCTTCGAATATGAGCAGACAAGGTATACGTCTATGCCCAATTTATCTGACCTGATGGCCGAGAATATTTACACTGCCCACATTCATGTTATGACCACGACGTGTAAACAAGTGTCGCACGTACCCACTTTACGTCATAATATATCCCCGCGCTCAACACAGGCCATTGTCTCTAAATTCTATGGTGCCAGTGCGGTCGAAGTTGAATCGACCGGTTTGCCGGATTGCAATATCTAGATAGTGTATGTGCCGCAGTAATTTTAAAATTATCGATAATGATACATTTTAAGTACAAATAGGCAGACTATTTTGTTTCTTACCCTGTTTGTTTTACTATTAAACACTGTAAAAGGTAAAACTCCTTTAACTATGTAAAATATCAAAACATTTATTGGCTATTATTTAACATTTTTAACAAAACAAAGTTATAAATTTGCGGGGACCGTGGCAGACATTTATTGATTGATCATCGACCTTCCAATTTGTAGTCTCGCACATCTTGTGCTGAACATACTCGGAGAAATTGCACCCGCGGACAAGATTATAATGATGTGCATCCCTGGAAAAGATCTTACATCAGAAACGGAAGACTCGACATTCGCTCGGCAAAGGGCTACTCCGGAATATTGCTTTGATGGCCACTTTTGCAACAACAGATCCACAATTTGGACACAGATTTAGGGCTTATCTTCTTTTGCCCAAAGTGCGGCTATTCTTTCTTTCGCCTGATCATCTCGAGCACTAAATTGTTTTATAGCTCCAAGGACCAATCAATCAAGGCCTTGGATGAAGCGTTCATTGCTGTGAGAGATGATGGCAACAATTTGATGCGGTGAACCTATTTTTCAGGGAACGCGGGGTATTGCATATAATCTACTGTCGTCTATAATCGATCACTAACCACCGGTTGACATAAAAAAATGTTCAGCGTAATTTGAAGCGCCGTACGTGTTCTGTCACGGACACATTACTTACCAGTTTACTGGAAAGCCATCGTAACGAAAAATTACGAGGGTGTGTGCTCCCAAATGTCATGTACGCGTGAGCGCTCGAGGAGGTTAGAGAGAAAGCTGAACAAAGAATGCCGAGAGTAGGAGGAAAGTATTATTGTTTTCAATGTAGTTAAGTTTCTTTTCCTCAAGCTTATATATGTCGTGCCTATACCTTGTGATATACAAATTACTGTGTAGGTTTCTCACTCACCACCAATTGCGCGCGTCGAGCAGCGATTGTTGGTCAATTTGGTCGACATTATGGAAATTATTATCGAAAGAGTGGAGCGGTCTCTAATATTGCCTTTGAAGTAAACTACATCGTTATTTCCTTAGTCAGGTAATATCGAGGAATGTTATCAATCAAGATAATACTGCCATTGGCATATTCGGAACGAATAACATGTAGCGGGCTAACTCCGTTCCACGTTTGACATACGTATACATAGAAGAACAAATTTCTTAAAAGTTGATGTAAAAGTATCGGCAACAGTTGGACCAGCAACATGTTATACTTGCTATTCGCGGACGCCAGCAAGTATAGATGCTTTTTGTACACAAATGTGTGATTGCTGTGTCGTCGCGCCTGTATCCGCAAAAGAAGGCACTATGCAACCATTTCTAGTGCTTGCCAAGTTGACTGCGTGTGTAAAACGCAAAGGACATCACAACACACGACACGCTTCGTTAGATCCACTTCCAAACTACCCATATTTTTCAGCAAAATAATACGCTCTACTGAGATATCAAGACGATGCAATGTGCTCTACGTACAAAGCGTCTATTAATGAAGGTACAGCTATCGATATGCATGGTGGTGGGTCGTTGGATTGTTAACCATCTCGACGTCAGTATTTACTTGCGCTCGATGGACTCAGCAGCTAAGTTATGGTCTTCACACGTTGACTAGGGTATCATGTCCGTCGCTTGCATGTCTCGGAGTAATGAGCAGGTAAGCAAGTACGTCCCACCAACGACGTGTGCCAACGCTGCAATGTACATTGTCGTTCAGTGCAGGCATCTATATTAGCGTTACGATAGCCTCTACGACACTTTCATTTCCTCCATATGAATCAGGGAGGATCACGTTCACTCGTGCACGATAGGTATCGACGCTCGAGGTGCCTGACTGCAATAGTTGACATTGTACAGCAAGCGTTCTTACGCCAATGACCGGATCGAAAACACCTTAAAGCAATTAATCAATGCCAAGATCGCGTTATCGTGTCAACACACCGATTTAAGTTTTGCACAATTACATTTATTTCAGATACTTTTCTGACGAGAAAAGATACAAAAGTGAGATGGAAGTGCGAATATTAGCAACATGAAAGAGATGCTAGCGAGATTTCGCGTTACGAGCGGTACGTGGAATGGACGATCAAGACACAGTGAACAGAGACGTGCGACACCATGCCAAAAAGGCTCATGCCTCGTATGCATTAAAATCCGTGAAGTAGCCTAATCATTGACTGTGGCTGGCCGTGTTGGAGAAAGCAGTCAAGTCACGAATGGATGCAGCGGACGATTGAAGTGGCTATTCTCAGCGAAACATATGTGAGCGTTATGTATTGCACCCAGGTCGTCCGAATCTCGATCAACATTCTACAGTCTGATTGCATTCCCTCGACGCAACATAGATCTTAAACATTAATCCCGAGCACGACGACGATCGACTAAAGAAAACAAAGCACTGCGACTGACAAACTCGTTCAATTTATCGCGGAGGAGACATTCTGGTTAATGGCGCATATAGATTACACGGTTTGGCTATGTTTGCATTAACTAGCCGATTGTAGTCAGGTTGAAACCCGTGGCAATATGGGTAGACTTTATCCTATCGTATGATACAAGTGCACCACTTGCTGAAGTCGAGTGAAGCTCATGTTTACGCGATTGTATGAGACGCAGATGGGACATGTAGGCTGGCTTGCGATGCGTGTTACGGGATGCGATACCTGCTATCGCAAGGGAGCTCACTGCAATGACATGTAGAACACAGGCGAAGAATAGATCATCAAGTTCAAATCAGGACAAAACGCCTTTTAACTGTGCTCACCAACGATTAACCTCAGTGACCGACCAGGGTGGGCGTCCCTCACGAATATCAGATAGGATCGCCTCCGTGCGGTCCATTTCTTCTATAGTAGGCCGATGTATGCCACGTACAGCTTGTAAGAGCTCTTTTGATCGCCCATCCTCGTCCTGATGGCCTTCAAACAACATGAGATATGCCCGCAGTTCCTCGATCGTTTTATCCCCTTGCAGTAGTTTAACGACTGCATTTTCGTCGAATTCATGACTTTCTCGGTACAGGTTCACATACCTAAGAACCTGTCCGAGCCTGTCACTGATGTCGTCCTGGGGTATCGGATTCATCGCGACTCGGAATGCAAACTGATCGAAATCTGCCCAAGGCATCAATTTGATCACGGTATAAGGGCTCAAATCAGCATTCGCCCACGTCCTCAACATCAGCTCTTCAGTCCGATCTTGGTATTTGGCCAGCAATAGTCGATGCGCCTTCTCCACTATCAGATGCTCATCATTTTCCACTCGAAGATATTCAAAAAACGCCACTACATCTTTTGGGTTGCCCTTGTCCATCAGAATGTCGACGATTAAAGGTTCAGGACGGTAGGGATTATCCACGTTCACCTGATGTCCTTCACCACTCCTCGTGTTTGCCCCCGTCCCTCGTCGAAAGTTTGTGCGCTTCACATACTGTAGCCACTGCTCGAGGTTACGATTGACCTCATACCACCTCGCGGACTCTCCAACACCATGCTTCAAGAGATCCTCCGAGATGGGCAGCATATCGAAGACTTCCTCAGGGCTTACGCGAGCGTCCAGACACGCAATAAGAACAAACTTATCAGCGTCTGTTTTACTCACGGCCATCGCTCTCAGCAAGCTGTGGGCAAAGTCTTTCATACCATCGACGTCACGGAAGTACATTAAGGTCGCCACGGACTGCGTTGTTCCTCCGATGATTTTCAGTTGCTGAACGGCAGCATCGGGGGTATACGAAGGATCGCGATCCATTAGCCGTTTAAGGCGTAATATCCTTCCCTTTAGAATGTCATGAAGCGCTTCATTCCTCATTTGAGCGCCCATAGGACCGGTTTTGTATCCTGAGTACACGACCTTACCAAGTTTGCTCAGGTGTGATACCACATCGACTACTGTTGAGGTGAGCGACGACCAAAAACTTCTCCTCTCGTTGTTCGAGCGAACGTGACCGTCCCCGAATATAGCTGAATCGTGCGTTCCAAAGGATCTCGGCGTGCCATACTCGTCGGTCGTCAGATGAAGGGCAAGAGTGGACTTGTCGAGAAGGTCATCATCTTCCGTGCGATTGTTGGTCGGGGTCGACGTTGGGTCTGCAGCAGTCCACTGAAAGGCGACAAAGGCCGAGATCAGAGGGAACAGCTTGCGCATCGTGTCAATTGAGCAGCTTGTGGAATGAGGGATAGTCACAAACATCGTAGCCGCAAGATCTGGACCACCCAAGTACCGCCTAGCATTTGACCAATGGAGCTGGCTTCCGGATCTGGTCGCCGTGTCATCCACCACCTCCCGCCGGTCCCAGTACTACTCTGTGGTGACCACCGGCCCCCAGACCACGTCTTCTCAATACTCTGTGTCGACCGCCAAATCCCCGATTTGGTAACTGAACTATTTGGTGTCATTCGCTAGCTCCTACATCCGGTCGTCGTACTTACTCTGTGTCAGCCGGTACCTGTCGGATCTTGTCTCCGACTTCCTCCTTATTATCGAACTTATTCGCAAAGCATCGTGAATAAAGCCAGGCGGCCTAAGCTCATCATCCGATCACAGATACAGGTCATTAGTAGACTACGGATCGAACTTCATGCGGATGTCCATGCGCGTGACTGCTGGCCGGCTGAATAGGTTAACCACACCAGACAAATTCCAACCACACGCACGAGTGTGCGAATCATTCTTGGGCCAGAGTACCACCGCACCGCAATTAGCAGTGACCGCACGGTACCATTGCGTGTAGAAAGATGGAAAGGAGTATGAAGCCAAACGGAAGAGAACGTAATGGCCACTCTGCCCATTGTTTATCACAGCCGTTTGTATCCAGCGAGGCGGAGCTGAGTTCGAAAGCGACGACGTCTCCGTAGAAGGTAGCGCTCGAGCATTTGCAGAAGGCGGGCTAGATATATGCATATTAGCTACACGTAAACGGAGAGGGACTCACATAAAAATGCACATGGTACGTGATTAATGTTATGTCTGGTGTTCATGCGTCCCGAAGCATGTAATACTTTCGATTTAGACGAAGACTGAATGTGTTCCAGTATTATTCTTTGGTACTCTTTCTTACAGCATACATCATTAGAACGGATTCATACGGCTGCCACGGCGCCAATGGATGTACCTCAGGTTGCACACAATGATCTGATCTACCCACGGTCCACTGTTATGACTGGCCCGATATGTCACCGGAAACCGATTGACGGATGTGGTGGGTTAGCCACGGCCGTTCCGACTGGGAGGTCGAGGGTACGAGCCCGCAGGTGGACAGCTCCACTCGCATGAATTCGAATTTAAGGCCGCACCACCGACTGAGCCTAAAGTGAGCCGCAACCGGTGGAGCAAGTGTGCAAAAAATCCTGTAAGTTACTGATCGCAGGTATCTGGGCAGTTAAGGATCAAAAGTGAAATTTCCCCGTGTAGAAATTCTTCCCCCGATGTATCACCAGATATACACGGGAGACGCTGTTCCATACAATGATTTTTTCATTAATCTGATCACCCTCATACTACACCTCATATATAATTGTTTTGCACATGATATTACGCGCTTGGTGTTCTGCATGACTTCAATCTTCGACCTGGTACTGACACGTTATACGTATGTAAAATCATGCGTACGCTAGTGATCGTATGTGATTTATGTCCATTTTTTATCGTTCCCTCTTGCGTGACATCTTGCCACTATTCGGCATAGTACGTATCGATTTAGCAGTTCCAGCGAGAACAGCACGTACTTACACCTCTCCTTCTGATATCAACTATTACTACACCATACGTGCTGAAACATAAAGAACGACACATAGGAAGGCCATTCAGTAAAAATATTCTTGACATTAAGAGTAGCTTCTTTATCACAACGTGAAGCTAGTAATATCTTGTGCGTCAGGGCTAGCTCGTATTCTATAATCTTTCATAGTACAACACATATGGCGGGCCATGTAGCAATGTACGATTACGCACGCCCCAAGTTCGTTTGACAAAGTCCTTTGTCGATGCTTACCGCAGTTCTGACGTTGCACATGGATCGTGCCCAATATTCTACGTTTGGCAATGAGCAATCTTACTTGCACAGTATATAATTGCTCGGGTGTGAATCTTTGCCTTCATGTGACGACTTGAGATGCATTGGATATGAGCACGTAACGATTTGATTCATTTCGCGATCGCTTTTGTAAATTCATTCACAACTCTTAAGGTATGGGCGCGCTTGTATCGACCTTCGTGCCACACTTTGTGCGCAGGTGAATGGCATCTAATCTCGCAAAAGTTAAGCTCCAGCAAAGACGGCCTCTTTTTACGGCTTGCGGTCGCTTCAGCGCCACTTTACACCATTTTATACATAGTGATCACCTTTGACTTGTGGGATAGCCGATACGTAGAGTTTGCACAAAATCAGAATAGATTAAGCTCTTAGTATTATATAGGCAGGCTTCTCGCTGAGGGTCAGGTCGGTATATTAGTGTGCCTTACAACTCACGTAAGGCGCTGTCATTTTCTGCTTTATTTTTCGATGCATGTTACATAGCGTCTTCTCAGCATTTCTGATTGCCATTATATACAACTAAATTTTAATTTTTTTAGTGAAATTGAGGTATATTAAAAACGATCAGAGACCAGCAATACCCTGTATACGGACAGCTACAGCTAAAAGTTGCGCTACAAATTATCCAGTATATTTTGAGCAAAACAATATGATTGTTTGCTGCCTGAAATCGCTAGCCAGACTTTATCTTTATCCTTGAAGAAAATAAGACAAATCATTTATTTCGATCAATCAACTGTTGGCTGACTGCAAAAGGGCTGTCTTGCTATACCAGAATAAAGACGATAAAAAATATTCATCTCAATCTCCTTGTCCCCAATCATTCACTGATACATTCGTCAATAGTTTACGTCGCAAGGCCCTCTTTGCATTATTGTATTCGTAGACTCCTTCGTGGTCATCGTCAAGTTTAATGGATAGTTTCACATTTATTATATGAGAAGTAAAAGGCTGATCGATATGACGATGAATACTTATAATTATAACTTACGAGATTATGATGCTTTCATTAGCTTTACATGCTCTTCAAATTACCCGTCTTGTTTCTGTATAATTTTTACTTACTTCTGTATCGTGCTAAAACCGACACGACTTCATTTTACTTTAAGATAACATCGCGACTGGTCAAGCCTTACAATCATCTTCTGAACGTGAAAGGAGTTAGTATTGGTCGACGCGAACGATGCTTGTTCAAACTCAGATGTTTAAGAATCAAGCCTTGGTTGACGATATCCAACATCTCTCTTCGTCACGTTTTTAATAAATTAGCATCGATTCATTTTTACGTGCGCTACAATATCGATAGCTACCATAGTTCCTGTAGTTGTTTGCCGCGAAACCGACATCAGTGGATAATGCATCGCAAGTATCTTGACTTTTCTGGCAAACGAACGATTTCACGCGATCTCTTGCGTATTATGTATGTTGATAGCATCTTATTCGTTTTCAGTCAGCTGAATATGGGTGTTGTACACAAAATCTCAAGAATATTTGCCAATCTAAACAGCAAAAGGATATGAAGCTAAATGAAGAATTTCATATCGTAATACATTTATGGATTCTCCATTATCACTGCATGACTTTGCATAGCTTCATTTTTGCTGATGTCTACACTTTGCTATGCTTATCACGACGCATCTTTGTCGTTCATTTAATAAATAGAAGGTGCCTAGCAATATTAAAAAAAATACCCAGCTTAGATGCTCTTGAGCGCGTATGATTTAAGGAAATCATTTTTTAACAAGTTCTTTCGGATCTGCTATACACTTATGAGAAGGAGAAAACGTTTGATCTATATACGAACGACCCACTATATCCGGCTTCGTTAGCCACTCTCGGGCGATGTGGAATCGTACCGCCCCTGCGCGGGTATCGATTCACGTACCTACCGGTAACGGTGCCACCGCTTTTTCACTCGACTGGCTGCTCTACACTATAACGTTTCATTATAGTTTCGATTATTCGTTTACGATACATCGTGGGCTGGAGTGTTAATAACTGTGATTAATGAGTATGTCAGTTTCGCATACTGCGCTCTATATACTACACGTACGGATACCAATAAAGCCCCATTCACGTATGACTTTTAACACATTGATTTAGATCTATCCCATGAATCTAAATCTGTAAATCTACGAGCTCATTTTTATACAATATAATGCCAATGGTGGTTCCGATTGCAGCCAGATCCGCCATGTAGTACTTATAAGAATGTTATCATCCATCCTTTACACGCCCGTCCCGATTGCTATTCAATTTCCTGTAGAGATGGCAAGCTAAGCAAGGACTTCATTTGTACAATGCATTCAAGCCGAGTGCTTAATCCACATTTTTTTCTTACAGAATTATGGTAACATGTGAAGCATTCACGATGTTGCGTTATATGACAAGTCCTGCTGTGCTCCACACACTTCATGGGTGCAAGCTTAATCGCTTTTGTCATAATCACTAGCATTGAAAATCTTTCGCACTGCATATGCACTTTCATCAGCCCACATTATATAAACGATTGCACCATTCTTGGCGCTGGAAGGATTTTGTGAACACGTCCGCCAACAAGATTGCTGTGACCACGAAGCTTGATTTCACCACTTCCACATCTATGCTTTAGGTAATTGAAAATTCCTTACGTCAGCGTGCACTAACTACGGAACGCCAACTGTGTTCGACGATTTTTGGCGACTTAATGACTCTTAACGTTCTATCAACATTGTCAGGCGTGATCATGTCGTACCCACAATGGATTGTGACATACACCAGCTTCTTCTCGTAGTTTAACTTATCTAAGATATCAGCTTCGGATTTGTAATGCGCTACTCATACTCTTATATCGACTTATTTCGCCATCCTTTCCATTGAAATAGCGGTCATGGCACGATCGCTTCGCGTATAGAAATGTTTTGCGTGTTATTGTTGGTGATACCCTACATCCGCGTGTTACATTTGTAAGTTATACCGCTGTTTTCGACCAAAGTTCTTGTGTAATTACATGCTCAATTTCTCAATATATACCGCCAACCCCTACGCGACCTCATCAATTTTGATTCTCTAGCTAACTCTGAGTGGCTCACGCGACGTCTGGTCTTCTGCAGCTACGATAAGTAATATGATA